TTGCAGGGATAAGTCGTTTTCAAATATGACTGTTCTATATCAGAATTGTTCAGATCTTCAGTATTTTGGAAAAGTCAAATTGCACAGACACAGAGTGCAAAGGTTCTTGGCTGATGTGCATGGCACATTTTCACATTTCACAACTCTAGAAAGAAACAAAAAGTTGCAAAAGATGTAGTAGGCGTCAGCTTCTTGCTTTAAATTTGGTCACATTTTCAGTGGTTTATGTACAGTTGTAAGAATTTATTCTTTTTTTTTTTTCTTTTGAAAATGAGAGTTCAAAGTTAAAGCAACTAAATAAAATAGAGCAGCATGTGCTGAATTCTATTGTCATTCCTGTAGCTGTAGTACACTGAAATTTAGCTATAGCTCCTACTTCTGATTAATGTCAGCATGATTTATCTCAACTTTGCCACGTACAATGCTAAATCAAGTCTTGGTATATGTTTTAATCCAACAAATTGGATTAAAAAACACAGTACCTGGCCATCCAAAGTATCTCTTACTGGGAACATTTGATCATAACATACCCAAAGAGACTGATATAGCAGAAACAGTGAAATGCCAGAGTAGATCATCTGTTTTATCTCATCAATTAAACTGGGATGAAGTCTTTTTTAATTAGCAGGGGGAAGAAGAGAAAATAAAATTTGTACATTAAAAAAAAAATTGATTTTGAAGAAAGCTATTTCACTCATTCAAATAGCACATGGAACACTGTATATGCTATTCTGGTCCCCTAGTACAAAACACAGTTTCATTTGTGGCATGTCAAAATGATAGAGCACACCTTATTTATTCTGCTTTTTACTTTTATTATTATTGTAAACAAACCAAGTTCCTTTGCTAAATAGCTACAGAAGAATAATCAGCACAAAATAGATGGTTAATTGAGACTTAAATCTGTGCAGTCATGTAAGATTACACTTGTTTTATCAGAGGCATAGCCATTTATCTAATGGCTAACAAAATACACTTGGGGTTAAGAAAATTTTGACTATAAAACAAATATAAAACATTACTTATGTTCTTTAACCTTTGCAGTTTAGAAACACATGGTATAAAATCAAAGCATTCAAGATCCCATGACACACTAAACTGCCTAAAAATGGCACGAATATGTTCTGCACAATACTTACCTATGCATCCATTTTAAGATAGAAATAGATTCGTCGAGTTGCATGAAATATTACAAGGCACTAAAATATGACTGCAAACATTTCCCTTAGAAGCAGCTGCAGAATTTTTTTTAGACAATCTATAGTACTCTGTTGCTATTATAAACCTAATCATTTGCCTTCTCACAGTTCCTATTTATTTGAAGACATGTAAGATTTATTTTAATATTTACTAGATTCTGGCTTCATTCATGCCATCATAATTTCCAGAATATAATTGTGCCCATCAACAGCCCATGTGTTTGTATGGAAACTGACTTTTTATGGTCTTTCAATCTTGTGCAAAAATTAGGCATGATGTAATTTCTATCTTTATTTTTTAAATTATTTTGAATTATTCTCAAAACTTCAAAATAAAATTGTGATTTAAAGCCAGCACGTACCAACATAAGCAACTGATATGAAACTAGTATCAGGAAAAAAAAAAAAGTAATTATGAGTCTTTATCATTGTATTGAAAGATACTACTAATACACAAAGCTTTACATATGTATATCACACTATGAGAAAATGTTTGGAGTACCTTCCACAGTTTAGCTGCTCTCCTCCAATAGGTTGCTTCAAAACACTTCAGAAAGAAAAAAACGCCCAAGAGAACACCTCAATAGTTCTATAACAAGTCAAAAGCTAAACTAAGCTAGCTAAATAGTGCAATTAGCCATTCTTGAGGCTTATATAGTTCTCAAAGTTGTAAGATTTTACAGGAGTTGGATTCACGTGATGAAAGTCCTAGTCAAACTAGGATCCTTTAATAAAGCATCTACAGGCAATCATTCTGATCTATATCTTCCTGTGTATGCACAAATACACTGCAGATTCTTCTGTATCAAGTCCCCTCCAACCATAAACTAGAAAGGGACTGTTTATGCTACTGAGTTTCTGTGGTGTGGGTTTTTTTTTTGGTAGCGGGGGAGGGGACTACAGCAGTGCCACTGCCAGAAGCTTCTCAAAAGCTCCCCCAGCTCCAAGGCTGACCCACCTCTGCCCAGGGCCGAGCCAACCAGCTGTGCCTTTGTGATAATGTATTTAAGAAGGGGAAACTGAGAGGGGGTTGGGAGTTGTGAGGAGCTGCGAGAAGGACGAACACTGAGGTCAGTGGAAGGAAGGAAGGAAGGATGTGGAGGAGGTGCAGCAGAGCAGAGGCCCCTGTATCCCGTGGTGAGATGGCAGGGCTGCTCACCCTGACACACATGGAGGTCTGCAGTGCAGCAGAGGCTGACCTGAAGTGTGAGGAGAAAGCCACTCCAGGAGAGGAGTCTGCACTTAAAATAGGCCGGGACTCTGAGGGGAGAAGTGGTCCCCACTGTTGTGGTTTGGCGCTGGGAGGACTGCAACACGCCGGGGTGACCCACGCCAGAGCAGCTCGGCAGTGGCTGTGGCCCATGGGGAGGCCTCACGCCGGAGAAGGTTCACGGAGGGCTGTCTGCAGTGAGAGGGGAGCCCCGTGGAGCAGGAGAGGGATGTGCGGCGTTCACCCCATGTCCTGAGAAGGAAGGAGCGGCGAGCTGGCTGTGACCCCCATCCCCTGGCCCCTGCGCCGCTGGGGGAGGACACAGAGAGATCCGGAACGCACCTGAGCCCAGGAAGAAGGGAGGGGTGGGGGGAGGTGTATTTTGGATGTGATTAGGCTTCTCACTGTCCCCACAGTGTCTGTTAAGTGTTGTCTCTGTTCGCATTTGAATTAAAGTGATGTTTTTTCTTCCCCTAACAAGTTTGTCTTCTGCCTGTAACCATAATGGGTGAGCTACTCCTCCCGGTCCTTGGATTCTTTGAGCCATTCTTGCTCAATATTTCCACCCCCTGTGACAGGGGAGGGAGGGAGCAGGTGCTCAGTTGCCCTCGGGGCCTAAGCCATGACAGCTACACTGCCAGATTCTTTCAGCTACCTGGCTAACACTAGACCAACCATCAGTAGCTAGGTTGGCTGTCTGGGAGTTCTCTTGCAAACGTCTCTTCAGATTTTCAAGCTAAATCTTCATCTTCCATTAAGCTTTTACTCACTCTGTATCTAATGCCAAGTACATCTCATGGATACGATTTGTCCTTCCTGTGGTATCAGCCTTTTGACACCTAATGGAAATACATGTTGTTAATACTGCCTTGGAAGGCCATATTCCCAACAAGTTTAATCTGCATAAGGCTCAAGTCATTACAGAGAGACTCTGAAGAGACAATTCCAGCAGTGTTTCTTGGAAGAGCGACCTTGACAGGCGATCCTCAAAATGCTTTGTACAGTTTTTGCCAAAAACTTAATAGGAAAGTACCTGTTAGTGACAAAAGGAGAAGCTATATTAAGTATATATATAAAATATATATTAGTATCTATCAGAAGATGTTAGTGCAAGGAAGAATTTTAAATGAAAACATGACAACTTCAATCAGATTTTGTTATAGAACTCTAAAAACATGTAAGATAAAACCAGAACATTTCCACTCTTTGTTTCAAAATATTTTTATATCTCAACAATATAAAGGAGAAAAAAAAATCCAATATTACCACCAACTTGGCACACAACTTTTAGAATAATTTAAATCAAAAATTCTAACTATTTAAAATATCCTTTAGGTAAAAAATGCTATATACAAACACATGGCAAAGAAAACATCTCATTAGAATTGAATTCCTAAATTTAAGACAGAAATTCTCATAAGCTGTATCTATAACCCTAGTAAAGGAGGGCCACAGAGCAGGGACATACAGGTCAAGAGGCACAGATTGGCTCATGTCCAGCTTACAAAGGGTAAAGTTTCTTTGTGACAGGTTTGTCTTAGTAACAGCTAGTCAAGAACACTCCAAAATAGTCTGAAATCAAGCCAGTAAATAAATAGCATGGATGATCAGAATCCAGTCCTCCTTATCAGCCTTTTTTATTTAACTACACGGATGTCTCCTCACAAAGTTCAGTAGCTTGCTTTTGCTGTTGCTTTTGACAAATTATGTTAACTTTTGTATCATTTTGAAGACCTACCTAGCCGTGATGACTTTTTCTGAACATAAAAGCTAAATAAATTACTGTTGTTCTTCTGTATGTAAACTTCACTACAATATGACTAGTAAGTTATTATATTTCTGGTTTTAATGGGTTATGTAACTCAAGAAAATGTTTTATATACATACCTAGTTTACCATCGTATTGTTTCCAGATATAGGGATCAATAAGCATGAATATATCAGAACAGGTTAATGCAAACACTTTTCATCTACTCAATCACTGGTTCTTCATATCCTAAACAGGCAGAGCTTTCAGAAGTTATTTCAGTTGAAACCAAAAGAGAAAACAATCATAAAACACACAAAGACAACATCTCTTTCCAAGGAGACTCTCCAGCTGCTTGCTTACTCTGGCTTTCCAGTTCCTCAACACCAGTGAAAAGACCAGGACACCGCCTTTACTGTTTTAGAAACAAACCCAACAATCTCAAATACATTTCTTTAGCCTACAGACAGCTGTACATACATGTGGTAATTTCAGAATGCCACAACCACTACAGAGGAATGCTGCATTGTATTTCTATAGTCTTCAAATTGTCATAAGTAGGCTTTATTTTTTACAGTTCACTAAGTTAGACTGCTTTTCTGAATTTTATGATTTAGTTCACAGCAAGAACAAAAGCTCAAAAGAACATAGAAGTTATTTTAATTTCAGAAATTGCTTTGGTACACTGACTGCAGGGCTCATTTAATGCAGAGTCTATTTCTAAGGAAAAATCAAATCTGCTTCTTAAAACAATATTATGGCTGCATCACTTTATGAAGCTGAATAGCTGCTATGAGTGGTCTTAGTAATAATTCTGGAAGTAAAGCATCCAACATCCCATGTATTAGATCTACAATTTATTTATTTGCTGGTACAATTTAGCAGAACTGACCAGGATGATTCATAGTATTTGGAAAGTAGTTTCTAACTTAAATTGAACAAACTTCTTAGAATTTGTTGTGTGTCAGTTGATAGTGAAGAACTTCAACATTGTACAGCTCGTATTTTAAGCTTCTGAATTTCTTTAGAATTATTAGTGAGTTGCATTAGAATTTTCAAGAAGCTGCTTAAGATCCATTAAGTCAGCAAAACATTTGGTTCCTTATTATTCTGCAAATATTTATGTGATTGGTAAGATCTGACTGTATTCAGACAGTAATTCACATTATGTACTGCAAATACATTCAATTACATCATCAATATAAAACTTCTTTTCATCCAAATAAACCAGGTTCTGTCCAGTTTTGTATGAACACTCAGAGAGAAATCCAGTAGAATTAATTGTCAAACTCATACCATCAATATATCTCTCAGGTAAAAGTCTGTCTTTAAAGAACCACCTCAAAACATATGTGCTATTTCAATCTTATTTAAATCATCAGAATAAAGCTCAGAAAGGATTTGCATGGTACATAGATCTTGAGTGCTTCTCAGCTAAAGAAACTGTCAAAATCACGTAAGAATCAGATACAGCTTAGAATGAAAAGTAGTTTGACAAAATATTCTTTCAAGCATCAATGATAACTGAAAAAATTCTAATAATATGAAGCAGTAAAAGCAGAGTTTAAAGCTACAAGTTAGAAACTACTATCAACAGGTGGCACATGTATGCATGTATACACATATTTACGTTTAAAATACTCATATGCATCTTTCAGTGTTTTTTATTTAAACTACTTTCCTGTACCTTCTAGAAATGTTTCTATATGTGTAATATAAATATTCCTAAAAAGAAAATATTTACCTAAAATTATTTAGAAAATGACTATTGAAAACAATGTGTTTTTTTCCTCCCCTTTGACCTTTTAGTCACAGATCACGAGAAACGTAGTAGGCAAATTCATAATTTGGCCTTCAGCAACTTTGGGAAAAAAAAAAAAAAAACAACAACAACAAAAAAAGAAAACAACAACAACAAAAAAAAAACAGAAAACACAGTAAAAACCTATTCAGAATTTCACTGTACAATGATTAGCTGAAAATTTTTAACATGTTTCACTAATGCTAGCCTAAAACCTAAATTAAAAGCCCAATAGTGTCTGCTTTTGAGAAAATATAAGTTTTACTTTACTAGAAACAATATTAGAACCAAAATCAATTCAAAATGAATAAAAATCATGGTACATTAGTAATATGTTAACAATGGAGGCTCAGTAAAAAGAATACAAGGCAAAGAATAGAATAGTGCACTGTCGTTTTATTGATGGCAGCAATGACAATTTGCCTCTTTCATATGTAAAAATTATTCAGCTTCATATAACTAAGAACTTTAAAAAAGTCTCTTGTAGTGTCAGGTCCAAATTCCTTCAGCTCACATGAGCTTTTTCTTTGTTCCATCCTGCTGCTTGGAAAATGCCAGAATTTCTAGAAGTCTTCAGTAAGTTGAAGCTGCCAGTGAATTTCCCCACACTCAAGAAGGTTTCTGAACAAAAAAAAAAAAAAAAAAAATAAGCACAAAACGTCTCCACTCTGTGTAACATACGCTTTACTGTTATTTCATTTTCTTCCTCCAAAAGAGTGGATATCTGCTTTTCATTACTTACAGAGATCTAAGTCTTTAAAAGAATAGGTTAGAAGGTTGCACTTCAATAAATATGACTGGTATAATACACAGAAAGAATGCTTTCTGGCAATGAGTTCTCACAAAGATGCAGTTTCTCCATTGGTAAGGACTTCAATACAGATTTTATAGCAAGTGTGACAAGGTGTAGATTAATTCTGTCATGGAGCAAAGGATGACCAAAGAAACAGATAATGACCAAGCACTTAAGAGGTTCACATTCTTAGGTTCTTTCAAGCTCTTCCAAAAGCTATGACCCTTCAAAACATTCATTTCTGATTGCTTGTTCCTCTTCTTTTTTATACTATCATGACATTCTATATAGGAGTGCAAGCTCAGGATGTATTTTTGTTATTCTTGGATTCTAATTCTTATATCTTGATTCTCTAGGAGGAATATCATATTTTACAGACCTGTTAAAGCTAGTATTTGAGTCATACCCTAGAGTGGGTTCGAGGGCTCTCAGTGTAGTGCTCTGATAAAATTCTGAGTTAGTGTTCTCTACCTCACACTGCTGCATATTAATAACTGATCATGTCTAGGTCAACTGCAACCAGTGAGGTACTGACTACCCCATACTTCTGTTACTTCACCTTAACGTGACTACTTTATCGCTCGTCATAATAAACACCAGGTCAGGACTCCTTGCAGGTCTGCAGGAATTGTTCTTAATACCCAAAGAGTAGAACAGCGTGGCAAGAAGCTTTTCACAAGATTAGAATCATAGAATGGGTTGGGTTGGAAGGGACCTTTAAAAGGTAATCTGGTCCAATCCCCCTGCAACAAGCAGGGACATCTTCAACTGGATCAGGATACTTAGGTCCCCATCCAACCTGACCTTGAACGCTTCCAGGAGGGGGTACCTACCACCTCTCTGGGTAACCTGTTTCAGTGTTTCACCACCCTCATTGTAAAAAATTTATACCTTATACCTAGTCTGATTCTACTCTCATTTAGTGTAAAACCATTACTTCTTGTCCTATCACTGCAAGCCCTGCTAAAAAGTCTGTCCCCATCTTTCTCATAAGCCCTTTTTAAGGCTGCAATAACGTCCCTCTGGAGCCTTCTCTTCTCCAGGCACACCAATGGAATCAAATTCCACTTCTAAAAAACGACTAGGATTTTAAAAACTTAAGCCTTTTCACAATTAAGACTCTATTACACCGTGGACATAGATTATGAGCTGATATCTGTCAATAGTAATTCCAGATTCCCAAGGGCAACTTCCACACCTAAATGACTGTGCTGAAAATTAATCCAGGAAGCACTATAACAGTATATTTCTGCATTGTTGTACTGGTGCTTGTAAGTCCTCCCTGTCAAGTGATGTAACATGATATATATAAAAGCTTTTGGGTCGGAGGTGGTATGTCTACTGTATGGATCTAATGTTTCATCTTTGATACAACCCTATAATACTCAATACAAATATGGCCAGCAAACTTTACTTCCAGAATTGTCAAAGTTGCTTTTGAAAACAAGGCACCTTAGCATTTCAAATATTAAATACGGTAATATTAAAATTCTACAGAATATACCAATTTATAATATAATTATCAAGGGCTCTTCATCTCTTTTCAGGAAAAAAAATCAAGTTACTTTACATAATACTGAAGTACTCCTTTCTCAGGAAGTAAAGGTGTCATTAATCAGTGATCTGGTGAAGAAGTAAAGCATCCTTCAGAGGAAAGTTGGGGTAAAATTATTTATCACTGGATCCCTTAAAACTTCCCCTGATAAATCATGTCTTCATCTAATAGGTTATAAGAAAATAAGAAAATATGCCACGCTCTCAAAAGGTCCGAGGAATAAAAATGAGGAAAAGCCATATAGAAACCCACTTCTAGGAACTGACGTTCAATATTCCTGAACTTTTATATGTCAAGACTTTAAAGTTATACTGTTGTACAAGTCTGGGTAAGATGAAAGCAATTTATGAAAGGATTATGCTTGATTTTCTGCCTACATTTAAAATCAGAGAAGAACTGATTACATTCACCACTTATTTTTGGAAAAGCCTAATAGATTTTCATTACTGGTTTCTCTCTAATTTCACTGTCTTCAGCCTCATTAGGTAAGTGTAATGCATTTCAAAATGCAATCTAAGATACACAGTAGCATGAGATGTGCTATGAGGAGATACAAGCCATACCTGATAAATATGTCCACCACAGTCTCACAGTAAACACCTTCTCACATCACTTTACCTATCAAACAAGGCAAAAGAGAGCAGCTACACTGGACTCTACACTAGCTTCAGAAAACAAATCTAGCAGGCTAAATCTTGCCTGTGCTACACAGAAAAAGCTTCTGGATACAGCACTACAATATTTTCATCCTCAAAAATATTGGTAATAGTGGTCTTAAACTGAGGAAGAATTTCCACTTTCGGCAACATTCAGAGATGACCACAAATGCCACATTCTTGAAGAGAAAGGAACCAGATGTTCAGTTTTCCAATTATTTACTAGAACATAGAGGCAGAGGGAAAAAAATCCGTATCATGAATTCTAGACAAAATAAAGGATTATTTTGACTGGAACTAATATAGGAGCTAACTATACTTAAGTAGCACCACCCAACCTCTATACAGAAGGTGTATCTCCTGCCTCTCTTGTTTTTCTACCAGAGTGATCCCAGTGTTTCAAGAATCTCAGACCAATTTGATATCTTGACGACTTCTTTTTGGAGTTAACTTCCAATAGCTGTTGCATTAGTTTATGTTGAAATGTAGTTGAGCTTAATACTGGAAATTTTCCAAATACAAACCTAAATTCAATAAACCAGCTACTTAAAATAGCCAGATTTAGCACATTATTTTAATATAAAATACACAAATGTTCTAACTGACTACATTTTAGCCATTTAGAGATAGTTTCCACTTAATTAAAGTTCAAGACAACTCAGTTACGGCAGCCAAAGAAGACTGCGTTGCATCTTTTGATACAGAGGGAATGGATCTTCCTATTACAAAGTTTTATTTTCTAATAATGAATTGCATTTACGGTGATGACTAGTTAAGGTATGTAAAACTCCCATAGTATTTGCTACTTCTATCATAGGAGAGAAAGTGCATAATATTCCAATAGAGTTGGACTTCCAAAAGTATCCGAAATTTACCAGGTTTAAGCTGCCATTGATTGTATATTGCACTGGGTTAGCAACTTAAGTTTTGGATGACAGATTGGCACTATCTATCTAATTCAAGCAGATGTTGAAGTAAATAGTCCTGGGCCAAAAGAGGACACAGGAAATACCTAATTTCATCAACTGAGGAAGAAAACTTTAAATTATGAAGAAGAAAAATAAGGATATATCTGGAAGCATTGTCAATAAAAGATGTGATTTCTAAAGCAAAATAAGTAGTTGCTGAAAAACTGTATCCAGCTTCATGACACATTTTCCAAAATGTATCTTGATTTTTTTTTTCCTGGATGAGAAGAGTTCATTGCTACTTGCTGACAAATGCTTCTACTTTTATTTAACTGACTCTATTTACCACTTGAATATAACTCCTTTATTTACAGATGTCTGTCAGAAAACAATAGTATTTGAACAGGTCAGGGGAAGGGCTGTAACTGTTTGTTTTTATGGTAGGTAGGTTTTGATACCAAGTCTGCTGTCCATTTAAATCCTGATCCTGCTAGAATCTTTAAAGCAAGGTATAAGAACACCTGCAAGGAACAACCACCTGTACCTTAGAAAGGTTGTTCCGCACTTCCCAACAATTCATTCGCTCATCTTGAGATACAAGAGTTACTATTACTCTTTCTGGATGTGTCTTCCCCTCTCTCCCAGCTGACCAAAGCCATACACAGTTTTCCAGATTTATACTGTAAAATTGGAGAAATACTAAAAATATGAAAGATACAACCAACCCCCCCCCCCCCCCCCCCCCGATTTTGACTGCTGTCTACACTGAGAACATCGACACTCCTTTGAACTAACTGAGCTAGTTTAGAACTCAGCTCAGGCATATGCCAGAATTATTTCTGCATAAATTATCCCATGGCATGTTTATTGATAGTGATTGATACACTTCCTTAAAATAAAAAATCAAATTATATGGGCAAAAATAGAATAATTATCACCTTGGCAAGAGTCTGGAATAAATTTTGCTCTTATATTGCCAGTACTCCCCCAAACGAAAAAGGGTATTTTAGCATATGATCAAAAAAAAGTAAAATCATACATTACTGCATGTCAGGAGTATCAAAAGCTGCAGAGATAAGCAGCACCTGTTAAGGCAACTTGGAGGCATGGAGGCCTGGAGCAAGAAAAGGAACTACAAAGAGCTCTGTAAAAACAAACTGACTAGTAGGGGAAAAAAAAAAAAAAAATCAGATTCAAGACAAAGACATATTGCAGATATACACCGAATAGCACATGATTTTACAAAACTTTCATTACTGAGGGTAGACTTTTAATCAAAGTTGAAAATAAAGGATTTAGAAGATACACATGTAAAATGTAAGCAGTCAGCATACTTGATTTGTTTAGTAAAAGAATTATAACTGTTCTATCTCGTTGGCCTTTCTAGATTTCTGAACGTACGTATCAGGTGTATTTTTTGAGGATGATATATACTACCTTAATTTCTACCTAATTAATAAAGCATAGGTGCAAGTATTTCGTCAACATTCAGAGTATGGTAAATATTCTTAGGTCTTGTACCTCACTATTCAATGGTGAGCTCATGATTTTAGATTTTAGTGTTGCAAATTCTCCAAGCAAAACAACAGAAAGAATTTTTATTCACGTAAATGTCTCATAAAAAGGAGAATATGGGACCTGGGACAGAGACAGACAGTTCTAGGTTCAGCAGGGACTGCAGCCACTTATTTCAGAGGAGAAGCTGGTCCAATATATGTGAATGAGAGCAACTCGCTGCTGCTCTCAGGTGAAAAAGTACCAGGTAAAAGCTTGCTCAGATGACATGAGTCCTTACACAGAGCTAAAAAGCTATTTGCCAAAGTGTTTTTATTGCCTTCCCTCTTCCCACAGGTGTATTAAGTTGCTTCCTACAGCCACAGAATCCAGAGAAACAGAGATACTCAACTTCTATCATGAATATACCAATATTCCTAACAAAATGTAGAAGTAATATGCCAAATGTATCTTCCAGGTAGGTGATGGCAACAAGTAGTTTCTAAACTAAAAGGATACAACCATATGGTAAGACACTGATTTAATATCGGTCCTCCATAGGTGTAGCAATCACTGCTCTGTGCATGGTCCTTATAAACAGATCACCGCTATTAAACAAAGCAGGTCATACATGTACTTTTTTTTTTAAACAAGAAACAAGGTTCTTCTAGGAATTAAGTTGTCTATTTGCTTGTAAAATGGTGATTACAATAATTTATTTGTTCAAAATATTAATTATCAGCAACCTAACACTGAGGGTTCTTATACAACCAGCTACTGGCAAAGCTATAGAAAGTTCTCTCACAAACTTTACAAAGACCGAAGAACATTGACGTATAGAACAATTCAGATACAATTTTCCTGAAATCTAAACCCATAAATAAAATGCCAATATCATATATTTACCTTTTATTTCTTATTAATCAGTTTCTAGCTCTTGGAGGTTGATAAAATTGTTGAGTAGGTCGTGTGGACCGTCTTGGCTGACCATCACCTCCTCTGCGGAACTCTAGAGTTTGTTCATATGTTTCTTCCTCCTCCTCCTGCAGGTAAATAGCATTGTTTTAAATGGAAGTGTAAGAAAATGTATTATACATGAGTAGGTATAAGCATACATACATACATACAACACACACACACATATACATGTATGAATGCATGCACACATAGCAACTGCTGCTTTTGTGCTGATGACTGCTTAATACAGTGAGATAATGGGAGTGGGTTTTTCAAACCTAGCGAAGCTAACAAAACCAAGATGGACAATCTCAAAATTCAATCCCCGGGGCAGCAGCAGAAGTTATTAAATATTTGCAGAAAACCCCCATATATATTAAAGGAAAATTATTTTCCAAGAGTCATACAGGCAACAAACTCAAGAAACAAGATAACCTCGATAACCTGCCAGAGCAAGAGAAATACCATCTTTTGGAAGTTTAGAAATGTGCGTGGAATGAAATAAAAGAATTAGGAAATGGAAATGCAGGGAAGAGTATCTGGTAATATTCCTGCTAGAAACACAGATCTGAAACAGTAAATAAAATTCTGTGATACGATAATAATGAAAAAAAGCCTACAATTATAGTGGACAGCAATTTAGATGTGAATTTGCTATGTGCAACAATAATATATATAACCTCTGAATAATGAGAAGAGAGGTAATTACATATTTGCATTCACTCCTAGGCATCTCAATACCAGAAAGATATTGACAAATTACATTATTTCAGAGAAAAAAAAAAAAAAAAAAAAAAAAAAAAAAAAAAAAAACCAAAAAACCGACAAAAATAATCAAGAGATTGGAGAATGATTTACAAAGGAAGAATAAAATGCTACATATTTACTTTGGTCAAGAAATACTGAAAGAAAAAACATTCACCTGATGGAATACTTGAAGGTGGTACACATTAAAGACAGAGATGAATTTTAAGAGCATTAGAGTTGATAACAAAGAGAAATATATAAGTAAAAACTACAGGTTGGAAAAAAAAGTTTCTGAACATGAGTATGATTGTCAAATGGTGTCTCAGAGAAACAATTATTATTTAATTTCTTTAATATCCTAACACTACACTGCAGCAGACACCAGGTCTAGAGAGAATATGCTGTAAGAAATCCAGGTTTTGGAAAAAGTACTGAGTATATAACTCTTAATAACCTTTCATTCAAACGTAGCAACATACACGAACACAAACCAAGAACACTGAATAATTCATTAAAAGCTTGTCAGCAGTTCCAACACCCAGGAAGAGTCTTAAAGTGCAGCAGCATGTAACAAAGAGTAAACAAGTCACAGCAGTAAAGTATTTCACTCTAAGAGACAAAAAGGAAAACCTACAGCCTAACTTTCTTTGTTGCAAAAAGTCAGATCTTACTCGTGAAACATCTCTTTCTGAATCAGCTTGAATATCAATAAACATGCATTTTTAAAATAACGGTTACAGACAACCACAATCCTCATGGTAAGGTCTCCTATTTACAGTGCATGTCTATGGTCATAGCTGTTTCCAGAACAGTAGAGAGTCTGCAACAACTGTAGAAGAAAACAGATTTTCAACCTGACTGAATACAGCAAAATTGATTTATAACTTTTAGTTTCACTGTAGCCAAAAGCTGAGAAGCATGGAATTCTGCCATAAAACTTACTTTTCCCAGTGTAACTCTTTTACTGCTTGCAGTACTAAAAAGGTTCAGAGACACTGATTATCCGAAAGAAAAATAAATAGAAAAGCAGATGTCTAACCAAAAAATCCACACAGTTTGCAATACCATTAGCCATAGTGCAAACCCTCAACTTAGTATACAAAGTAATTTCCAATCACTGACAATGAAAGCTGCACAAGCATCAAAACATCAAAAGGTAAGCTAGATGCCTAAAATGGTATATTTAAACCTTTAGCTCTTTCAGTACACTCCAAGAAATGTGAATAACTGAAAATAGTCACATATAATATGCCAAAAGAGTAAGGAAGGACACAATTGCAAGTTTTCTCAAAATTCTTTGCCAAAGCTTCAATCTAACATAAAATAGTTCACTCTTCAAGAATTAATTGGTGAACTTCCACGTGCGTGACATCTGGATTTCTCCAAAACTGGAAAACTAAATGGCATATATGCATGACTGAAAATTTAGCAATGCATGCTAGTGTTTTCAAGAGACTGTAGCAAATTAAATGTGAATCTTTTCTTGGTAGTCTCTGCTCGAAAAGAACAGAAATTAAATAGTTCAGTGCATCACATCTCACCTACTAATAGCCAAACTCTTTCTGAGGATATCAGAATAAGTTTCTAGAAGTGCAAATCTTCATCAAATCTCAAAGTTAATGCTTTTGATCCTCTGAATTCAGTAAAATCAAATTAAAACTAGAATTTGTTTTACACATTGACATTTTGGTGTAGTCATCTTTACACACAGAATTAAAAGCTTCAGATGAAATGTGTTCCAATTAAAGTATTTTTATTACAATAGGCAAGAATGAAATGTGAAATCACATTCATTTTCTTAAGGCTCTGAATGAAATGAAAGCGAGAAATGCAGCAAATGATAACAACAAATGAGTGACAGAACACCTTTCAACTGTTCCCTCATTCTTCTCTATGCAGTGGCTCCCCAATCAGTTACTGCTTGTCTTGTCGAAGTCTGACACCTTCACGTCAGATGACGCATTGCCCTTTGTTTCTTGAGTCTTACATTTTTCCCATTTGATTGTAATTGGATCTAATGTTCTCCAATATAACAATTTGCCAAGCCATACCTATATTAAACATTGTTTCTTGTTTTGCAAGTAACTGCATGCCTTTTCTTCCACCATTTCTTGATCACTGACTCTCAATCCACCACTGCTGATCTTTCATCCTTTTTCTATTGCCATTATATTTTATTTCCACCTTAAGGATTTTTTTCTGGTTTCATCTTTATTTCAACTGACTTCAAAATCTCGCCATCCCTCTTCTGGAACACCATCCAACCTCTGTAGGCAAAACTTAGTATCTCTAATGTTCACTTCCTTTTTTTTTCTATTCTTCATCCTAAAAACTTCAGCTGTCTACATTTCTTCCAATATAACACTGCAGTCAATTAGATCACGCATTTTGCCACCAGCTCTATTTTTCTTGCTGCTTGCTTTCAAGTTATCAGTTGCTTGTGACACATTGTGAATTACTCCATTTCCTACTTCCTTATCCATGTAAGATCAAGATTACATTTTATAAAGCAAAGGTGGCCACAAATCTCTCAGAGCATTTTCATTCTCCTTCTGTTACCAGTAGATGTTTCATTTAGTACACTACCTCAAAAACTTACACATTTTATTATCTCCATCTTTCAGCTTATTATTCATTATTTGTCTAATATTCCAGGATCCAGGACTGAGTTTTCAATTACTTGCACAATGCCTACCTAGGGCTATGTACCTCTTATTAAATGATACCACTAAGCACAACTGCAAAAACCAGCAGATCAATATGAAAAAGCAAGGAAGGGTTTACTATGAAAACAATAAAATGCACAAAGGAATTATTGCAGTAACAGGTTAGAGTGACACGAGAGAGAGGGTGGAAGATGTCAGCATTCTTTAGGTATTTAAAAAAAAAAGATGGCAAACAGGGACACACGTCACTGTAAATTTAAGCTTCTGTTAAAAATTTTGCCATAAAAATCTGCTGTTACTTTTGATATTTATTTTCCAGAAGACAAGCAAGAACTAAACAGGTGTAAAATGGGAATATATATCCACACTCAGTGCTTTCATTTTGGATCCATACATTATGAAGAGCTTGTACCACCACCATAATTCACCAGCTGAGCTTGGTGAATCAGCAAGTAACTTCAGTCCAGACAAGTAATTATCAGCATGCTTTTACATAAAATAATACAATGGATTTCATAGCTGCACAATAAAGTTATAAACCTATCATTTAAAATACTTTAGCATCCAATTTACTCTTAAAATTAACAATAGAGGAAATTTGTATTTAATTAAAAGCTTTCTCACTGAATTTCAACTGCAAGACTTCTTTCAGCACATTCAAAAGAACTGTTTAGAAACTTTTTTTTTTTTTTTAAATACAGCCCTTGAAGTAAATGCTTACTATATAACTTCTGAGAATTATTACTAGGTGGATGACAGTAAAGTGCAGGACAGAAGCTGTGCATGACACAAAAGGTTTGCTGAATGTTATGCTCACGTACATTTAGCATGCAGTTGCAAGTCACAGCTGAGTAGCTCCAACAGTTTGCTGCCTACAAACTAGCTACCTCTGTCTATTCCTGCTTATGAACAGAAAATTCTGATCTATTCGCTGGGCCCTCCTGCTGTGGCTGTTCAATTATAGCTCTCTCTGGGCTATTAAGGGATGAGCACCAGAGCCTAGGCAAGGAGGTCTGCAGGAGCAGCGCGGGAGGAACCATGGCCAGGAACCACGGGACAAAGAGACAGAAGGCAAAGAGAGCAAAGGACATCTTCCATTTCAGTACTGTCAAACCACTGTTCCAGTTTCAGCTGTAGTTTTAGCTTCATCCACATGCTCAATGTATGAAAAACTTGCTGGACTCAGTACAAAGAAAGAGTGTTGGCTTCCTTATAAAATGAACTTTTCTTTCATGTGCATTTCAACTGCCATTTCCTGGGCCCGATTTAATGCCTCTTTTCATTGCCCACTATGCCGGTAACAGCTGTCTCCTGCTGTTAACACACCAAGTGATCTCTTCTTTGCTGGTTAAACTCCTTTCTTAAAACATTCTTCTTTTGCTTAATTATCCAGTGTTGATCTCCTTGAGTACTTTAGTCCTTGATTTTTGCAGTTTCTACTTACCTGTGCTTTTATCACTTGAAAACAGACTGTAAGATTTTCCAGATGTATCAAAAAAAGAAACCAAACAGAAAACTCAATCACAGTATGGCCATACTGAAAACTTAACAAGTTTCTTAGAAAAAGCTAAACTTAAATATTTAAATTGCAATATATTGCATAACTTATTTGTAAGGAAAAAAAAATGATTGCCTAAAGTGTCTACAGTATTCCCTTAAACTTCTAATTCATC